CCCCCGCCCCAACCCCCCCGTATAGAAGTATATTATTTTCCTCTCTTTTTTACATAAGTAGCAGCACAGACACTGATCCATTCCCCAGAAAGACAGAATCTCAGATATAAGACTAAAGTCAATGTTTTTTCTGCTTCTCCCTTCACATGCTTACCTTTATTTCCTGCATCCTCTATGATCTGATATACTAGTTTTTCTTGGTTATCTGATCCCTTCATTTTGCTGCAGGAGGATAAAGTAGAATTAAAAAGGCAAAGAGGTACAGGATAATCTAATAATCTACATGACTACTTCAATGAATTAGCAGACAAGGTCATCACATTGACTTATTTATCAAAATAAAGACTTACCTTAAAAAGAATGAGACAGGGCTGTATGTACCATAATGAAAAGATGTCCAAGACAGAGTAAGTGAAAAAAACAAGTTGCAAGACAGTATGAATAGAATGATCCCATTTTTGTTAAAAAAAGAAAAAGAGAGAGATTATATATAAATATATAATCATCTATATGTATTTATACATCTAGAAGAAAAAATATATACCAAATTATTATAAGCAGTTATTTCTGGGAAATGGAACTCACGATAGGAGGCAGGGATGATATGCAAGAGGTTTACATTATGCAATTCTGTGTTGGCTTTCTTCCAAAAACAGGTATTACTTTGGTAATAATCAAAGTTTTCTTAAAATGATATGATTATGTGCTTACCCAGCATTCTGAGAATCCTTTATTCTATACAGAAGGCCTGTATTGCTCCTTAAGAGATCCAACTGACCCTAAACATTTTAAAGATAGGAAATAGCAATGAATTACTCTGGAGATGCATCAAATCTAATGACAAATGCTAACACATTCTTTAATATTTCACACAGACTAAATGTCCTACTTCCCATAGTTATTTGTCAGTTCTTAACTTGAGATTTCAGTTTTCCCCTATCACATACAGTGCATTTTTAAAAATTTAGTTCTTTATCTCATCATTTTCTAAAATATTAATATCTAACAATTACTTATATGCTAGATCCTGGCTTGGTTATATAATCAATGTGTAAAGAATTATAAACAAGCATCTTTAGAACATTTTAACAGAAAGTTCACTTATCCTCAATAAATTATGATTCAAACTAAAACAAATTCAATAAATATAAATAAGTATAATACAAATAAAATATAATTTACGTAATATAAAGTTCAAATAGAAACTAACATATAAAAACATTTTTTAACACGATGTTTAAACTTTACAAAGTTAATAGTGACATTTACTGATATGTGTGATTTCTATTTGTTCCATGAAAATTAGGCAGAAGAGTTAACCAATGAATAAAAGACCCGCAGTTTTGTTTTTCTGTAACACGTCAAAAGTAAAATAAAGCATGTCTTAACATACTTCTAAATTTCCTTGGGTCTGAACTTAGGAGCACCCTGATGGCTGTACCACTGGGTTTCTGGCAGTTCGGGGAAGACGTGGCTAAGAGAGGCCCCATTTCCATGTTAAGACTGGGCAGACCCATGATTTGGAAATGGGTTTACATATGGCTGAACAGTAATACCCTCCCTCCCCAAACCCCACTAAGTAGCAAAACTGAACCACAAAGCTCAATTCAGTCATTTAACTCAATCTATGAACATTTAACGAACCAGTACTATGATTGTTGTTTGTGGGTACAAACATGAATTCTAAAATCGAATCACACACCTAACTTCACTACCATCTGGCTGGCATTAAGATAGAGGTAAGTAATGGGTGGGATGGGCTCCCAGAGAAGAAGCTATGGCCCAATGTGGGATTCAGGGAGGCTTCCTGGAGACAACAGCAGAGCTGAGTCTTAGAGGATAATGAGGGGTTAGTCTGTGAAGAAAGAGAAGAAGGGCCTTCTAAGCAGGGAAGACAGAATGAGCAAAGGACCTGAGACATGCAACAGCTTGATGCGGTCCCTCTGAAACCTAACTTTTGAGACACACAATGGCAAAAGAGGAGATAGGTAAGGAAGGTAGAGACTCACTGTGGTCAGCCCGAGTTTTGACTTGAATCTCTCGTATTGGAAGAAGTATTTCTGGTGGGGAAGTGACTTGGTCAGATCTATATTTAAGACACATCAGACTTTGCTCTGAGGCAGATGGAGCCAGGAGAGCCAGTTAGGATGCACTGTAATAGTCCAGGTAAAAGCCAAGAGCCAGAACACATGCAGGGATAGTAGGAATGGAAATAGGGGGACAGATTTGATATTTATTTAAGAGGCAAAATCAGTAATAACTTGTGATTTATTGATAATTACTCCTACTTAAAATTCTTCAATAGCTGTACCACTGCCTACAGCCTATAGCCAGCAGGACTGGCAGTAGGTGGAGTCAGTCACAGAGATAGTGTAAGAGAGGGAGGTACTGAGGAGGATTTTCAGACGGAAAGGAAAGGGTTGAAAGAGTGGTCAAAGGACAAAAACATTTTCTATTGCCACAACCTCCCAGCACCCCTTCCTCTATCTTTCCTGGAGCTGAAGACCTTCATCATAATGAAATGACTAGAAATCATCAAGAGTCCTTTTTTTCCTGGTGCTAAAACAAGGGTGAGCAATCTGGCTCACTGCTTGTTTTTATAAATAAAGTTTTATTGGGACACAGCCACGCCCACTTGTTTATGTGTGGACCATAGCTACTTTCTTTTTTTTTAATTTTATTTTTTTTCATAGCTACTTTCTTGAGTTATCTATTATAACAGAAACCAAATGGCCTGCAAAGCCTAAAACATATACTATCTGGTCCTTTATACAAAAAGTTTGCCAAACCCTGAACTAGTAGGTTGAAGGGAACATTTTAACAGAAAGTTTACTTGTACTCAAAACTCCATATCCAGAGCCCTTAGAAATCCAACAAAGCTGGTAGATTTAAAAAAAGCAAATCAGCCTTAGCCCTGGCCAGGTAGCTCAGTTAGTTATCGTCCTGATAAACCACATACAAGAAACAACCAATGAATGCATCAGTAAGTGGAACAACAAACTGATGTTTCTCTCTCTTTCTCCCTTCCTCCCTCTACAAAAAAAAAAAAAAATCAGTAATAATAATTTAAAAAAAGCAAACCAGCCTTCAGATGATTACTTAGTATAGAAATATTTTACCTAATTGCTATTAAGACCAACTGAAATGCTCTCAGGACATGGGAATTTTGATGATAGGGGAAAGGAAGGAGAAATAGGTAGATTTAGAACATGGGGTACCACTAGGACATTAGAGGAGAATGACATTAGAGCTCCAGGAAAACAGAAAAGGTAAGGATAGGTAGGGCTTCACTGAAAAAAAACCCCACTGCTATCACTGGGAGCTGAGCCTGCACTTCCTCCCAGGGGCCCAGCACTGGTGACATTTAACTGGACTCATTCCTGCCTCTTGGAATGCTCAGGGTGAGATTGTGGAGAGTGATACCTTAATGAGCTGGCTCTGTGATGATTCACAGAAAAATCAGGGGGATGTGTTTCACAGGGAATGGCCAACACCAGGAGTAGGAAGCAAACAGAAGGTCAGAAGAAACTATGCCTCTGTGCCTTTATGTATCTTACTGGCAATTAGGTTAACAAATAAAGCAGTCTGAGCCGTTTCCTGGTTTAGAACCTTATCAGTCACAACCTAACACACCTTCCAATGTTTTTTTTTTTTTTTAAATAACAGTGCTTTTATTTTTTGTTTTATTTTTTAAATTTATTGATTTCAGAGAGGAAGAGAGAGAGAGATAGAAACATCAATGATGGGGGAGACTCATCCATTGGCTGCCTCCTGCATGCCCCACACTGGAGATTGAGCCCACAACCCGCACATGTGCCCCGACTGGGAATCGAACTGTGACCTCCTGGTTCATAGGCTGATGCTCAACTACTGAGCCATACTGGCCAGGCTCTTCCAATGTTTTTATGAGGAATAATAGTAAGCAATGACAACGGTAACTTAAAATGTAATTACATTAACTAGTCGGATTCACCTTACCATAGACAACAGTCTATTGATTGCCAAGGCCCGCTGCTGAGCTTCTATATGAGGCATTTCATTTTGAATTACTTGGTCTGTGATTCCATGAGGGAACTGGTGACATAATTCTATAATCCTAGGAACAAAGGCATTAATGATATCATTTTTATTTCTAGTGTGTGTGGGGGAAACTAGCAGAAAAATTTGAAATGGTGTCTTCACATTTAGCAGACAGTCTGGGTTTCTATGATGGTTCTGAATCAAAGCTCTCAAAATACATTATTATTTAAGAAAAACTTTTTTCCTCACTAATATGAATTCTAAACTAGAACAAAAGTCAAATGAAAACACAGAAAAAAATATTAACGCTGTAGTTTCAATTTTCTCAGATGCAAGTACACAAAGTTAGGATACAGTGTATTGGGCAGCCATAAGTCTGCAAGCAGGAGGCAAATCAGGTATTTCTGGTGGGAAGCCAACATTTATGACAATTCACCACAACTGGGGCCCGTTTTGGGAATTATCCCTACCAAACAGAAATAAGCCCAAATATCCACACTGTCATGGGATCCTCGCATGTTATTCATAATAGCCTGAGAAAATTGGGTTCTTTAAAAACCATGTGGTAATCTAACGATAGTATTGCGCTGCTAGGGAATTACAAAATTGAGAGGCTTTAGGTGCCCACAATAATCTTGACTTAAATGCCGCACCGAAACCATTTGTGGTTTAATGTAGCTTTGTAATCGCCCAAACGTTCAGTCGTGGGAGTTCCCACAGCGACAAGAGCCACTTTGGATCAGAACATGCACCCTAAAGCCCTTTCAGCGGTTCTCAACCTGTAGGTCGCGACCCCTTTGGCGGTCGAATGACCCTTTCACAGGGGTCGCCTAAGACCATCCTGCATATCAGATATTTACATTAAGATGCATAACAGTAGCAACATTACAGTTATGAAGTAGCAACGAAAATAATTTTATGGTTGAGGGTCACAACATGAGGAACTGTATTTAAAGGGCCAGAAGGTTGAGAACCACTGCAGGTAAAAACGCCATCTCCTTTCTGAGCGTCGATCACCTTCGCACAGGGAGGCAGTGCATCATCACAACTTCCCCAACAGCATCGGGACAGCTACACAAAGTTGTAAACTATCAAACTCCTTTGGACTTTCGTAAGAGTTTTGTTCTTCGGGGGTGGGAAGGGGATCCAAACCCGGCAATCCCCTGCCTGCGTGCTCAATGAACTTGTCCGGTATTTCCCGACGGTCCGCGGAGAAAGGGTCCGGTTGCCCAATTGACCCGCCGGGAACCGAGCCTCACCCACTGACTTACCTGTTTTCTATTTCTACTGGATCCGCGTCGGGCGGCTGCAGCTTCACCTTCACCTCAGCCATGAGAACGCGGTTCCTACACCAGAGGGGTGAGAAGCGCGTAGCGGCCAGAGAACCAGCGGTGCCCGGGCGATGGGCCTTCTTCCTCGTGTCGCAGCTGGTCCTTCCTTATCTGTCGGCTTGAGGTGACCACGCCGCGCCTGCTCCGCCTCACTCACGGGCGCCGCTACATCCTCTTATTCTTTTTTTTAAACCTCCCCCCCGCCCATATCCTCTTATTCTTGCTTCCAGAATGTCAATGCCTGTCGGGCGAACGAGCTTCCTTTCCTCATTCTGCGTTGAGACGCCACTTTTTAGCATTTTCCAACCTCTGAGAAGGCGTGTTCTCGGACGCCTACGGTTCCTGCGGGTACCACTCTCCCAGTCAAACGTCACGGGTGGAGCTGGTTGCTAGGAAGCCATTTTTCCGCCAATCGCCTGCTCGGTTCTCAGTAGGCGGGGCGAGGCTCGCAGCGTCAGTGGTAACCGAGACCTTGACCAAGGAGAAGGCAGGAGGCAGTGAGAGGTGGGCTAGCTCGCTGCGGACGCCGGAGGTACCCCCGCAGTGAGAGGTGGAGCACCCGGCCGGGGACGGCGGAGGTACCTCGGAGGGCCTAATTCTGTCTTGGTGGCCGCTGATAGAGGAAGAGGTGGAGGAGGAGGAGGAAAAGGAGGTGGGGGAGGACCTCCCTCAATCCTGCGGAGAAGAGGAGGACCTCCCTCAATCCTGCGGAGAGGAGGAGGAGGACCTCCCTCAATCCTGCGGTAAGGAAGAGAGAGTCTCTGACGGCCCCCGATGGACGGAGGCCGGGACCAGACGGGGCTCCTGATCTGAGCGGCGAAGAGTGGGTGGATGGAGTTGGGGTTTAGGGTGCTGTTTTCCCCACAATGCCATTTGGGCCTGTTGGATTTGGTCTACTTCTCGATCCCTTTCTTGGGGCCCACTCGCCGCCCCGGCCTTCCAAAGGCAGCTCCAAGTAATTACTGCGCGCGAATTACTCCCTCCACAACAATTTTTATTTTGAAGTAATTTTTCAAGTATTTTTATTTTATATTATTTCTTTATATGTTTTTATTGATTTTTAGAGAGGGAGAGAGATAGGAAGAAATGGATGACGACAGAGAAACATTGATCATCTGCCTCCTGCACGCCCCCTACTGGGGATAGAGCGCGCAACCAGGGCATATGCCCTAACTAGGAATCCATCAGGTGACGCTCAACCACTGAGCCACACTAGCAGGGCTCAACTATTTTTATTTTAACTGCCTCTCACATAAATGGAAATGTGAGTTTGAGTAAGTGTCCCAAGTCCAGCCATCCTTTCCGAGGGGCTAGTGATCTGTCAGTATTTGCAGTTCAAATTCTTGACCTCTACCCTGGAACTATGGTAACCAGGCATTAAGTTCACTCCTCCCTTTGTTTATCTCATTTTGGGGAATACTGTCTGTGACAAAACAAAAACCTCAAGATATTCAGAGCAGCATTACTTAGAATTGCAACCACCAAAACTAGTAATATCCTTAAAACCCACCCACAAATTGATAAATAAGATTATATAAGTATGTGGAAAATTGTAAATAATAGAGTGATGGTGCAATAAGTAAACAATAAAAATGGAATGAATATGTTGAGTGAAATCTATCCATAATCATTGGAATTTGAATAGGGTGAAAAGTGATGGGAAATGGTTGCTATATTAAGGTGTTGGTTGTGTTTTCCTCCTGAATCCTTTGCATATTAAAAATTATGACACTGCCCAGGGAAAAGGTCAGTAAGGCCTCCACACTCATACTTAATTATTTATAAATACAGTAGATGGAGTGGGAGATTTTTGTATTTGTTGCTTACTTTTTATATTGGTGCCATCTTTCAGCTGAGGTTTGATACTCTGTCATCCTTCTAAAGTTTCTTTGCAGCTTTCAAATGCAAGAATTACTTGGTGGCAACTGCAGTGCCTGGAACCTGGAGCTTTCCCAAAAGAACTGGCTCTAAATTAACATTTCATGCTGCATACAAAGTTACTTCTGTTTCTCTGGCATGATGACTTGCCCTGAAGCCAAGAGAGGTAGCACAGGAATAAAAGGCAGGAAAGGCTGATAATGATTCAGAGGAAGCTCAGACCAGATTATTAGTCATGGTCTCTGTTCTGATGCGTTCATTTAATTCGCTCATCTCTCTCTATAAAAGCCTAAGTGACTGGCCGACTGGCTGACCGGCCGACCTGCTGGTAGCTATGATGCGCACTGACCACCAGGGGGCAGACGCTCAACACAGAAGCTGCCGAGCAACAGCAACTTTGCAAAGTGCCCTCTCGCACTCTGGGACCCCCTCGGGGGATGTCAAACTGCCAGTTTTGACCTGATCCCCGCAGGCCAGGCTGAGTGACCCCACCAGTGCACGAATCCATCACCGGGCCTCTAGTTTAAAATAATTCCCTTTGCCCAGCCGGTGTGGCTCAGTGGTTGCACATCGACTTATGAACCAGGAGGTCACGGTTCGATTCCTGGTCAGGGCACATGCCCAGGTTGCAGGCTCGATCCCCAGTGCGGAGCGTGCCAATCAATGATTCTCTCTCATCATTCAGGTCTCTATCTCTCTCCCTCTCTCCTCCTCTCTGAAATCAATTAAAAAATATATTTAAAAAAGTAATTCCTTTCCAACATCTCATTCATTCATGCTCTTTTCCCAGGAGTAAGGTAATAATTTACTTACCTGATAATCAAAACTCCACAGAAGACCTCAATAGCAAAAATACAGCTGAAGCAATAATTATTTCAAATAAAAGTTGAATAATATTTTTAGATGATATAGTAATAGTATTCTCTGTAGTTTTTACAGCTTTACTGTATTTTAATGAGGTACTTCTCTTCGGTATGTGTGTTCAAATATATGCAGCCATTGGAATTTATTTTCATCTACTTTTTTAAAAATGTAAGCAGGGAAAATGACTGCTGGTTCAGTGTGTGTTCCTCAGATCATACCACTGCGAGTGCCTCAGCCTGGAAAAGCCAACCATGAAATTGATAACAATACACTTGTGGAAATGAAATCAGGTAAAAATAAAACATACTTGAAATGCTTTAAAATAACATGGTCATACTCTTTATGTTCATCTGGTTGTTGATTTTCTTTGTATGTTTTCAATAACCAGGACCTTGAGAGGTTTATAAAACTTCCAAAATTTGCAACACTTATACTTGATGGTTTATAGAGTGGTGTATATTTAGATGGAAACGGTTAGCTTTGACTGCCCTTTCATTTGTATAGGTACTTAATTGCAGCAATGCCTTGACTCACTTTGGCCAAGGTAAGATGTCCCAGTGGTTCCCCAAATGTTCCCAGGATGCTCATTATTTTGCTGGGATAATAAATTTGATATACTAACACAGGCTCTCCACTCATGTTGGAGCTTGAATCCTGGCTGTGACAACCTCTAGTAATTTTTTGTATATTAATTAGCCTTTTTGAGTCTCAGTTTCCTCATTGTAAGATAGTGATAATAATATCTATTTAGAGCCATTGTGAGGATTAAATGAGTTGATGTGAGGTATGCAGGGTCTGGCATGTAATAATGCCAAAATAAATCTTAGCTATTATTACAAAAATAAAATCAGCTATTATTACAAAAAATATTTTGTAATTATTATTACAAAAATAAATCTTAGCTATTATAACAAAAAAATAGTTCCTATTAATGCCAAAAGTGAGTATATGTATATATACACATATATACACATACATATTTACATATACATATGTACACTATAAGGATGAGGGAAAGTTTTATAGATAAAGCATATGAACAAATACTTGTTTAAAACACACTGAGATTCCAATGTACTTTATTAAGTGTTATGTGTAAAAATTATTTCTGTTTTTATGTTATGACCCTAGACCAAGAGTTCCAACTAAGAATATATTACATTATACTGTCTCCCTTTATCTTAAAAGCTAATATTATTTTTTAAATTTTCAAAGCAAAATACAAATTTTAATATATGTGCCCATGACTCATAGAAATTGAATGTTTATTGACAAATGACGATATGAATAATAGGGTATCCAAATTCTCTAACGTTAAAAATGTCTCAAAAATAAAAGGTCCTATAATTCAGTAACAAAAAGAATAATAATAACCCAATAAAAAATGAACAAGGATGTGAAAGGACATTCTATAGGTAAGGAAATATAAGTGTCTCATGTGAGAATATGCTTCTACCTGCCCCTTCACCTGCTTGCTGAGCAGACCTTATCCCCTGCTTTATTACTCCGTTGCATCTAATTACCATTGAACAGATTGTATATCATTTCTGTTTGTTTACTGTCTGTGTGTCCTTCCTGAAATGGAAGCTCCATGAGAGCAGGGACTTTGGTGACTGGGGTATCCTCAAGTGTCTAGAACAGTGTCTGCTACATAATAGGTACTTGGTAAGTATTTGTTGAAGGAACGAATGAATCTTACTCAAAATGTAAGAAATGTGAATTAAAACAACAAGATACTTTTTAAATTTTACCTAACAGATTAGTAAAAATAAAATAATTGATAGCACACGATATGGGTGTGTGGGTAAGCAGGCACTTTCATGAATTGCTGGTAGCAGTGCAAGTTGTTTCAGCTTCTATGGGGGGAAGTTTGGCAACATTAACCAAAATTACAAATGCACATACCTTTTGACTCAACAGTGCTAGTTCTGCATATTTTACAAATATACGTATAAAAAGAAGAGTTTTCAAGGTTATTCATTATAGTGTTTGAAATGGCAAAAGAAAGAAAAAGAAAACATTCATATGTCCATCTGTAGGGGATTGGTTAAATTGTGGTTCATCTCTATAAAGAGAGAATATAACACAGCCATAACAAAGACTGAGGTCATTCTTTATGTACCAGTATAGAACAGTATACAAGATATATTGTTAAATGAAAAAGAGAAAGGTGTGGAACAGGGTATGATATACCACCTTTGTAAAAAAAGAGTAAGTGAAATAAGAACACGCACATTTATGCTTGTATTGATATACAATATTTTTGAAAGGATAGTCAAGATCCCATTGATTGTCTGGGGCAGCTGATATTGGGAGTGGGGAGGAGAGTTTTAACTGTCTATCATTTTTTGACATTTTGAATATAGATTTATATTAATTTATTACCTTTATAAGTTTTCCAAGATTGTAGGAATGAATCATTTACCAAGTCGAAGTATAAAAGCATTTCTTAAGCAATACTAAAATAATAATAATAATAATAATGAAAAATAGCTCCTGCTTTCTAAATGGCTGTTCTAGTTTTAAAATAGACCCCTACTCTATTTGAATTAATGCCCTATTGGAAATGCAGAATAGCATAGTGGTTCAAGAGTGTGGGCTATGGATTCACCTTACCAAGAGTCAAATCACAAGTCTGCTGTTAACCTCTCTGGGACTCAAGTTTCCTCAACTATAAAGTGGGTATAAAATAGGGCTTATCTAATGGGATTGTACAGATGAATTGAGCTTATTCATGTAAGGCACAGTGCTTAGCATAGAGAAGGAACTCAATTATTGTTATCGGTATTCATTTCTACAATATATTTAAAAATCTCATTAAATAATGGACCCATTGGCATTATTCAGGGACTTGGTACTTTAATGCTAATCGCAGTTATCCTGTTTTGGGTTTTTCAGATACCCCAGATGTCAGCATATATTATACCTTGGATGGCAGTAAGCCTGAATTTCTAAAGAGAATTGGTTATGGTGAAAATACTACATTTAAGTATACAAAGCCTATTACTCTGCCTGATGGAAAAATACAAGTTAAAGCTATTGCAGTCTCTAAGTAAGTTAAGAGCCTGGTGATTAAAATAACTTTATAATATAATGATGTTTTAATTTTATTTATTTATTTCAGTGGGAATTAGTGCTGGACTAGAAAGGCATAAAAGAAAAATTATTTTAATTTCAGCATATATCTGTAACTTTTGTCTTCTGCTGAGGTATACTGTAAAGTGCAGAAATCATAAGAGTACAGCTTAATGAAGTGCTATGTGTATTAATAATATTCTGTTTTTATTTTGAATTCTATATTGGAATTTCAGGAACCTTTTCAGGGTTTGGGACCTCTGAAGAGATTCATCAGGCTCTAGAGAAAATACTGTTTTTAGTGGATATTTCTTTTATTCCCCAGGACATAGCCTACAACCACCATGATCATTCTGTTTTATGTTGTATTGATTTAATTGGCCTTGAAAGCTACTGTCTCTTTCATTTGTGGGTATTAGCTACTTTATTCCTTTCTTTCCTATTCAATGACTTTTATCACTTTACCAATATGGAAACACATCTTAATTTGGAAACCTTGTGTTGTAGAGAAAAACTCAATTGCTTTGCAAGTCTGTGATAGGGGGATTATTTTGTGCAGCAAGACAGGTTTGGCCACATCTTTGGAACACTATTAGGCCCCAGTTCAACAACTGGCTGGCCAAGGTACTGCTTTCAAAAAGATTATCAGGGCTCCCTCCGGTGATTGAACTACTGCATGGCTTTCTGAGGAGAGTTGCAAATTCTACACCAAAGATTGTTTTGGAATTTGATAATTTTTAAAAAGAATAAAATAAAAATTAAATCAAACAAACCCCTAATACACATTATTCTTCTTTATTAAATATTGACATTTGTAGCTTTTTCCTACTTGTCAACTCACTTCTATCAAAACAAGTCTTCTTAATTATCTTTAAAAATTGACAAGCTAGCTCTAGCCAGTTTGGCTCAGTGGATAGAGGGTCGGTCTGTAGACTGAAAGGTTCCAGGTTTGATTCCAGTCAAGGGTAC